CGCGCTACCACCTATAGCAGCCGGGGCCCCTTCCCAACCTTGACCAGGAAGCACGGTGTCCGTTGCCTCCTGGTGCCCGCCTCGCCCCACGTGGAGACCTACATGTGGGCGTTGGCAAGAGTGGTGGGGCCCACGGCCATTGTGGCAGCCTCCAAAATGTTTGGAAAGGTGGTCTTCTTCCTAGCATCGGAGGCCACCACCCAGGAGGTGGTGGAGAAGGGCCTGGCGGTGGGGGGCATGTTCGTCCCCCTGGAGCCGCTAGAGGACCTGGATGTCTGTCTGGTCCTGACCTCTGTCCCTCCCGTTCTTCCCAATGCCGCCCTGTTACCCGCCCTCTCTACCCTGGGGAAGCCCATCTCTGTCCTGAGCCCTCTCTCCTTGGGCTGCAAGGACCCCGCCCTCCGTCACGTCCTCTCATTCTGCCGGCAAGTGCAGCTTCAACTGCTGCCGGCGGCGCGTGGTGAAGAGGCGCTTGCGGGGTCATTCTTGGTCCCCTACGAGGGGGCCCATTACCGGGTGCATTATTCCAAGGGGGAGGCCCGGTGCTACCTCTGCCAGGCGATGGGGCACGTCTGGAGGGACTGCCCCTTGGCCCAGCAAGGAGAGGCATCCGGGACCTCCAAGCCCCGGCAGGGCACCGGCCCCATCATCGCTGGCTGCCCGGCACCCAGAGCCGCCTCTCCTCCTACTCAGTCCACCAGTGCTCCAACTCAGGCCCAAGGGGTGCTTCCCCCCAGTGTGCCCAGAGGAGCGGGAGAGCCCCCGCCTCTGCTGCCTGCAATCCCATGGGGCCCCTAGAGGAGGGTGGGGCAGGGATACCGCCAAGCATGGGAGAGGGCCCGCCCCAGGGGGAATCTTCCCTCCCTCATGCCGCCCCACCGCTGCCTCCCACAGTCCCTGAGCCATCGCCCCGGCCTGACCTGACCCCTGTTAGCCGGCCCCTGGATGATGCCATGGAGGGCTGGGCCATAGTCTAGGGGAATCGGGGCAAGCGGAAGGCTCGAACTCCGCTCCTTTTCACCGATGCGGAAGCCCCCCGGAAGACCAGAAAGGGGGGCACCGATGCCGAGCCTTCTGCCTTACCCGCGGGTGCGTTCCATCCACTGTACCGGCTGGGGAAGACGTGGCAGCACGGGAGGACAGTACCGCCCCTCCATTGGAGTCCCTTCCCTCCAAGGCCCCCGATGGAGCCCCTCCTGCCCCGTTACCATCTGGAGCCCCTGTGAGCCCTGAGGCGAGCGTCGCTTCAGGCACTGGCGGGAGAACTCTAGGGTGATGGAAGGAGAGCTCCCTTCCATCTATGAGGAGATCGAAGCCCTGGGTCTGACCCCGGTCACCCAGGGGGAGGACGACCCTCTGCCAGTGGGCCTCGATCTGAGCAATCTCATCCCGCCCCCCCCCACCCTTCTCCATGCTCCCTCCCCCTAACCGCTGCTTCTGCTCCCGCCTCTGAGGGTTCCCTGGGCTCCTCCATCTGCCTGGCCGCGGGTGGCACCCTGCTGACGGCCATTGAGCCTACAGAGGCAATGGCTGGTGCCACGCGGCTGGGACCCGAGCCCCATGGGATGGTATGTCCCTCTCACCGTTGCACAACAACAATTTTGGGGTGTGCAACTCAGGGGGCATGTTGAAACATTCCCTGAGAGCTGCACTCTGTGGAAAGTGCTTCATGCTGGCACTCCTGGCGTTCCTTAACAAAATACTTAGCTTTTAGTTTACACAAGAAAAACAATTCCAAAGGGCAAAAGCTCCAACTATCTTAGGAGCGTCCGGCCTCACCGCTGCACTTCTTGGCCCCCCCGAAAGCTCCCAGGCAAACACAGCTCTGTTTCCCAATTAATTCATTAAATCCAGGTGCTGGAAAGGTTGTTAGTTGAAACAATGTATGTGACATTTACGGTTCCCATGCTTTTTTAGACAGTAGGAATACAGCAAATCACATGGACTCCAATTTAACATTGTGCATACTCTAGGATAATTGACCTTCAGTTATCAGCCCACAATGCACAAAGTGCATGTCTGACTAGAAGGGGAAGTTTGACAGGGTTGGGAATTTTTACCTATTGGTTTGCCAGTGCTCGTTCTCCTCCCTTTCATGGAAGCACCAGCTCGTCCTGAACCTTCCAACTTCCATGGGGATTTGATTCTGTGTGCAGAGCTTGTGGGCTCAGGCAAAATGAAGACTCACTGGATGGGCTCTTGGGAATCTCAAAAAACAGCTTAAAGATTGTGTTAAGCCACCATGGCCACTGAGCCTGCCCCTAAAAACATCAGCCTGCCGCAGAGCAGCAACCCCACTATCTCACAAGCTGAAAGCCCCAGAGGATGATGGGGAGTAAGAAGTCCCATGCAAATTGTGGATGCTTATTCTGCACCTCAGGTCATGTTTATTCATGTTGTCCCTTTCCACCCTCTCTGCACCATACTGGGTTATTTTTGGCTCACAGTAACAGGGACAAAATTAAATTCCACCTCTTTCTGCCAAAGGAAGGAGTTAACTAAAGAGCCCCTATGCCAAATGCCACTAGTGTAGCTGACTGGGCTGTGAGTGGTTAGGCCTCGTGATTGAAACGAGAGTGTGGGCTCTCTGTTAGATCTGGGGCCCAGGAACAATCCAAGGGTCAGTACGGGAGGGACAGAAGCTGAATGCCAGAGCTGGAGGGTCAACAGAGTTATAAGCCAGAGGCAGAGCCAAGGATCAGAGCTAGGGGCGGTGCTGGAACAAGGGCAAGCACAGCTGCAGGCATGGTACAGCTGAGCAGCCACTGACCTGCTGTGGGGGCCAGGCTTATAAACAGGGCTGCTGAGCCAGCAACCAATCAGGGGCTCTGGCCATTCTGTCAGGTCCAAGGAAGTGCAGCTGGGCTTATTGGTTGCTTAGCAGCAAAGTTCGGCAGCTGGTCCAAGGCAGTGCAGCTGGTCTGGCTGCTGACAACTAGCCACCATCTGGGGCTTTGCTAAAGCCTGAAGTGAACAAGCTGTCTATCCGGAATGGAATCCACATCATGAGCAAATCTATCTAGCTGGATCCACTCAGGCCAATGGATCACCAGTTGACTAATCTGATAGACAAAAGCCACTGTTTGATGTCGACATATCATGAGTGAAATCCTGGCCCTACTGGAGTCAACAGCAAACCATTCATTGGGTTCACTGGGGCCAGGATGTCACCCCAGGAGCTTTCAAGTGATGTTTGGCACATACCAAGCAGCCCAGCAGGCAAAATATTTCTCAGTGGATGACCAGATGGGTAAGTGCTCTATTAAAGGGACACTTCCAGCAGGGACTACCTTCACCACATGTCCCACACAGCACTGAGCACAAGCTCAGCACTTGACAGACAAAGGAGGATCACTACAGTCAATACCAAGGAAAGCCAGAGGGACGGTACCACCGGAGAACAGCCCTGGGTGTCCATTAGCATTTCGGGCTGAATGAGCACTGAGAAGACATAGGTCTAGTTTGTCCCTCAGCCTGCATGCTCAGACTTCCCCCACTCCACAGGCCTCTGAACTGAACCTTGGGCCCAGGCACATATGGGCACAGGGGGCCCGTTACTTCCTCCTGCTACTCCCATCCTATTCCCTCCTGCTGACCATCTCAAAAAATGCACTTGGTTTGAGTGTGCCCTCTGCATGGTTTTACACTGGACAGATCCAGGCTTTGGGGAAGTAAAGGTTGTCCAGCTCTGGCTAAGGATTTAGTCAGCTCCTGCCTAACGTTATAGTCCCAAATGGCCCTCAAATCAACGTATGTCGTGTTTTGTGCATTGAGAAGCTCATACAAGCCATGAACTCTCCTCTCCCACACACCAGTTAAATGCCATTGCTTTCACTGGTGCTGTTCCTGCGTGGCACTTTGTGTAAATGAGGGGAGAATCTGGCCCAGCATGTTGTGATTGAGTTATGTGCACCACTCTCCATTGAGGATCCAGGAGGGGCAATCACTCAGAGGCCTCCTTGGTTCCTTTATGTAACTCAGGACTTGTCTTCACTACAGGCTAAATCATTGCTGCCGCAAGTGATACAGCGGCATTGATATAGCAGGTCTGGTGAAGACACGATAAGTCTACGGGAGAACTTTCTCCAGTTGACTTAATTAATCCACCTTAATGAGAGGTGGAAGCTATGTTGATGGGAGAATGTCTCCCGTTGACGTAGCACGGTGTGGACATCCCTTTAAGTTGATATAAGCTTCGTTGACTTAAGTTACTTATATACCTTAACTAGCGTAACTTACGTTGTTAGTATAGACAAGGCCTCAGTATCTGATCTGTCTACAACTTTAATTCTCCTGGAGCAACTTAAATTGTCTAACACCCTAGAGATCGTCATGGGTCAACAGTCCTTTGTCTTTCTACTTGTTCTGGACAGAATGTGCATTTCCCTTCTTTAGAATTATATTAAATTGTAAACATACTGCACCAGGTCCTCAACTGGTGCAAACTGGCATCACTCCACCAAAGTCAATGGCGCTACATTGATTTATGGCAGCTGAGGAACTGGCCCATTAGAGGGCTAAATGTGCTGGACTGAGGCCAGTAGAGTTATTTCATTTACTCTTTGGTAAATGAGAAAAGAATTTGGTTCCACCACAACTAGGAAAGAACAGAGATGAGGATGCCACTGACAGCAGACCAGAGGACAGAGTGAACTGAGCCAGAACTAATTTAGTCTTGCAGCAGCAGTTACTCCTTGAGCTTCAGGTGATCCACAGCATTGTAGACACTAGTCACTTACTAAGCCTGGACAGTCATAGTAGAGGATGGCTTTCAGGAGCTACTTTGGCTGCTAAGAAGATCCTCTCTCTAAGTAGAAAAGTACTGCCATACCAAATATAGTTCATTAGCGCCGTGTCCTCTTAAGCATTGCAAAATTTGTGAGGGTCTCCTTTGTTGGGTTGAATAAACTGAGTACAAGCAGATCTGGCAACCTTTCACTGAGCTTTATGGAAATTAGATGCCCAGTGCCTCTCAACTGATTTGTAAAGTGCAGTTCTCACCCCTTTGGAGGGTTTCTTTTCTCTAACCTGGGCCTGAGATCAAGAAGGTTACCCTTCTGTAATCTTTCTCAAGATTCTCTGCTGGTAAGACAGTACAGGATGCTTGTGTAATATTCCATTACATATGTGTCTATGTGCCTTGCCCCTTTTGGGTCTTGTCTATGACTGTGTCTCTCTGCATGGCATGCTGATGCTGTTTCTGTGTTGTTTGTCTCTGAGAAACTTTACAAACGCACAGCGTTACTGGGAATATGGAGTGTTGGATCTGCATAGAGCATGTCATGTAGCCCAGGGTGCCTGGCTGTGAGACGGTAGAATTGCTATATCTGTTAGGGGAGGCAGGCTGTCTTGTAACTGAGTCACAGGACTGGGAATCAGGAGACCCAGCTTCAGTTCCTAGCTCTGCCACGGATTTTCTGGGTAACCTTGAGCAAGCTACATAAGAAGAGAGATTCACACACTGGTCTCTGTTTTTTCTGTCTGATTAAGGTCATTTAGATGTCTATGTTCAGCTGTAAAGCCGAAGTACCATTGGCTATAATGAATCTCACACCTTTTATTTACTCATTTCAGTAACGATGCTACACCAAGAGGATGCTCTGCAGAAGTGACTTCACCAATGACATCTCCAGACAAGCTTTTAATCAAAACTAATTTGGTAACGCTGAAAGAATGGTTTTAATTAATGAATTAGGGGCCAGGTTCTATCATCCTTATCTAACTTTAAAGAATCCCTTACTCCTCAGTTGTTATTATTTGTATGAGGGGAGGGCCTGGGAACCCCGCTGAATGATCAGGGCACCATTGTGACAGGCATTGTACAGAGATGGAACAAAGAAGACAGTCCTCAACCCAGAGAGCTCACAATCTACAAGCACAGGCAGGACCCACCAGGGAGATGAAACAGACACACAAGGTCGAGGGGGGCTAGGATGATGATGTAACAATAAAACAAACAGTTTAGCAGAAAAGCAGAAGTCACACTTAGCCACTTGCCTAACTCCTGTAGTCCCATGGAAATTAATGGAACTATTGGAGGAAGGAAGAGCCAGGCAGAGTGTGTGAAGGTGGCAGAATCTAGTTCCAAGGAGGAGGAATAATAATAATAATTAATTATTATTATTAGTCTCCTGGTTGCTAATCTTTACAAGTGATAATAATAGAATATTCTTTCTAGGCCTGATCCTGTTTTGTAGCTTGGCCCGAGAAAGTTTTTTTTAAAGTAGGGACAACTCTAAATATAATGGACCAACTTTAGCCCTCGCAAGACCTAGTGCAATTCCTATTAAAGTCATCATTACAATCATTGTTATGGTGATAGTAGGTGCTCAGCACTCTCAGGGTCCAGGCCTATATTTCTACTGACATTCCATACATTGTGTGACAAAAATGGGGATAAGCTAAAGAATCTTCAACCATTTTTAACTGAAGCTTCCTGCGCCCAGAAAAATGTTCTGGGCATCACAACACAAACCAGACGCAGTCTCGGTATTAATCATCATTTCTTATTTTTCCTTTCAAAAAGGTCATCTTGTCAGTCCACTGTGTGCTGTATGAACTCCCCTACCATTAGCAGGGCTTATCAGATGTGATCAGCAATTAAAAAGAAAAACCGAACCAGAGACTATGAAAATTTTAGAAAAATGAGATCCTTTCATTCAGGAGTCTACTGATTGCCTTTGGAATCCAAGCTATGTTGATTGCATAGTGCCACTTAGTGGCAGAGAAAAGTACAACACTCCACATGGTGGAGATGGTATGTCTGTCTTTCTAAATTATTCTTCCATCCGATGAAGTGAGCTGTAGCTCGTGAAAGCTTATGCTCAAATAAATTGGTTAGTCTCTAAGGTACAAGTACTCCTTTTCTTTTATTCTTCCACAGTTATCCAGGACAAAGGATAAAGCAGATACATACAATAGAGATCTGTAATAAGGAGAGCAGGTCGTTAGTCTCTAAGGTGCCACAAGTACTCCTTTTCTTTTTGCGAATACAGACTAACACGGCTGTTACTCTGAAACCTGTCATCTTGCAAATGTTTAAGCACATGTGTAATTTGGCTCATATGAAGAGTGAAGGGCTAGAAGAAGACAGCAAGATAAGGAGCCAGACAAAGGGTGCTGGAGATGGGGCAGAGAGGGGAATTAAGACACGGCTGCACAGAGGTTTTTAGGGATCTGTGGCAAAATCTGAAACTGAGACCCGCCTACCCTACCAAAAAATTACCACTGAGGTGTGGTCAGTTGGGAGGGTGAGGGTGGTGGGTTTGGAGAGTGCGCCCACACTGCAATCTCCCTGCAGCAGCAGCTTTGGTCCCACAGGGCAGGGCCTGGCTCCCTGCTCTGGGCGCTGTGACAGGTTTGTAGAAATTTTGGTGGTGCCCAGAACCCACCCCTGCCCAGAACCCACCCCTGCCCAGAACCCACCACCACCACCTGCCCAAGGCTCTGGGAGGGAGTTTGGGTGGGGGAGGAGGTCTGGGGTGCAGGCTCTGGGATGGAGTTTGGGGATTGGAAGGGGTGCAGAGGGAGGTGGTACAGGGGTGAGGGCTGTGGAGTGAGGACTGTGGCTGCAGATGAGGGGTTTGGGGTATGGGAGGGGCTCAGGGTAAGAGTAGGGGTATAGGGGGTGAGGGCTCTGTCTGGGGCTGGGAATGAGGGGTTTGGGAGGGGGTTCAGGGCTGGGGCCGAGGGTTAGAGTGCAGGGGGATGAGGGCTCTGGCTGGGACTGGGGATAAGGTGTTTGGGGTGTTGGAGGGGCTCAGGGCTAGGGTAGAGGGTTGAAGGTGCGGTGGGGGGGTGAAAGCTCTGGTTTGGGGTGTGGGCTCTGGGATAGGGCAGGGCTGGGGATGGGTTTGGGGTGCAGGCAGGCTGCTCCGGGATGGGGGCCAGAGAGGAGGACTGGAGAGGAGCGAGCTCTGGGGGAGGAGCCCCCCTTTCCCGCCCCCCGCAGCAGCACCCCCACCCCCACCACAGTCACTGCATGTGCTCCTAGGGCCCATCTCAGGTCCAAGAATCTCCCTCGCCTCCCCCGTGGTGGGTGCTGGGGAGTGTTGTATGTGCCTCCTCCCCCGCTGTTGCCCCTGACTGTAGCCTCACTGGGGGGTGAGGGATGGGGCTACCTCCTTGCCCAGCATGGGGCAGGAGCGGTGACTGCGGGTGGGGGGGCCCCCTGTGCTGGTGGAGGGTCACGCCGGAAAAGGGAAGGGTCTGAGGTGGAAGGGCAGGCTCAGTCAGTCTGCCCCGACAGTCAAGAAGGGGGCACTAGGACCCTGCGGCAGAAGTTGCTGTAGAGAGGCAGCATGGAGCTGCATGGAAAAGGCAGAGACGCTCTGCTCCGGGGCCCAGGGAGGCGCGCGGTGGAGGCTGGGGGCAGCAAGAGGGGACAAGGGGGACACCCGGCCCCAAATATTGGTGGAGCTGGGCCCCGGGGCTCTGAATATTGCTGATGCTAAGGCACCACATGGAGATATAACTCACCACCCCTGCTGGTGCATGGGGTCGCCGTGCCACTCAGGTTTGGCCTGGCAGCTCTCCATTATGATGGAGGGCCACTTGGCTGGTCCTGAGTGGTTCTGTGACCCGGTGCACCAGGTTGCAATGCCTCTTGGTTTGGGGGCCCTCTCAACCAGGGGCCCCAGGGCAAACTGCCCCCCTTTTGCCACCCCCTCAGGCATCCCTGGCCTCAGACAAGTCCGAAGCATTAGGAAAAACTTCAGAATGCCCTGGGTGGCCAAGCTTGTTTCTGCTGCAAATCAAACAAACCAGAAACATACTTCTGGGAAACCAGCCCATCGTAGTGGTATGTTCTCAGTGGATGTACTGGTGTGTGTGTGTACACACATATCTGGTGAGAAAATGCAGAGAGAAGCTTAACATACATTTGTCATTGGGATTTGAAAAAACACTTTTATTATGGGTTTCTTTTTTCTGAAAATTGTGTTTAATTTCCTTAGCCAGATCAACAAGTGAAAAAAAATTACATTATATATAAACATACACACTCTCTTTCTCTAGAGACAGCACATTCCAAGAGGATAGACCATTTTGGGGATGGAAATTGGGGCAGATGACAATCTAATGAAATAGGCCCCCTCCTAGAGCATTTCAGGAGAAGCGTATGCCAAAATTCCAGAACTCGTTGTTCATTATGACCCTGTTATTTTTATAAAAGACTCTTCTACTTGCCTGTTGGCTCTAAATAAATATGAATGCATCTTTTCTCAGGATACATGGGTTTCATGGATTCTAAGGCCAGAAGGGACTATTATGATTATTTAGCCTGACCTCCTACATAACACAGGCCACAGTACCTCACCTATGTAGGTCTGCTCTTAGGTAGCACACTGCACAACAAAAAAATTGAACTGATAGTTCTTTAGAATTTCTGAATGGAAAGAGGTTTAAATGTCAATTTTCTAGATGTGGTGGGAGACGCAGGACTGTGGTACATGCTGCGTTAGCCACTAAGTAGGTGTCTACACTGCGTTAAAATTAGCAGTGTGAATTTTGCGGCACAGCAGGCAGCAATGGTTAGCACCCGAATGTAGAGAGAATTTTTTGAAATCGCCATTTTGTTTGGTTATGTTGTGGTTTGCCCACCATTTTGATAGCCCTTCTTGTTGGGCCAGTTGGTGCTCTTTTTGGTTAAAGCGGGAATGATGGTGTCATGTGAGCTAGGTAATCTGCTCAGTAACAAGAGGGCATAAAAGGTCTGTGTGCCCAGTGCCAAGGGCTGTTCATCCTGGTGGCAGTCCAGTGTTTAGGGTGTCCTACATGTCAACAAAAAGGAAAGAAGATCTGCCTGCCATTCCTGTTCCTGATCCTGAGTGTGTCCATTCCTGAATCCACTGTCATGTGGTCGCAAAAAAGAAAAGGAGTACTTGTGGCACCTTAGAGACTAACCAATTTATTTGAGCATGAGCTTTCATGAGCTACAGCTCACTGTAGCTCACGAAAGCTCATGCTCAAATAAATTGGTTAGTCTCTAAGGTGCCACAAGTACTCCTTTTCTTTTTGCGACCACAGACTAACACGGCTGTTACTCTGAAACCTGTCATGTGGTTGTGTGTCTCCAGTTCCTGAGGCTGTTGGTGACCCTGCTGTGCCCCTGGATCCATGTGTGCATGTTCCCTGTCCGTGATACCCTCTCATCCAATGATGTACTGACTTACCTGATTTATTTGTATATCTACTTTATGTTTGCTTGGGGTCCCTGGCTTAAGGCCAAGTCATTTGAATTAACAATGGAGTGCTTTGTGTTACCCTTTTTAGTGATCTGTTGTTTAGTTGGGAGTTCTGTTTAATAAATTTGGCTTTGTTTATATTCTATATCCTGTTTGCTTTGAGTCACTCCTATGAATATCACCCCAGTGACAGATATGGGAGAGAGTATGAGTCTGTAGGGTGGGGGCTTGTGACTAAATCCCGTAGTTCCCTGTTGAATACCCTTTCCAGGTTAACACAAATACAAGCCTGCCCAACCCCTTGGGTCTGTATTCAGGTGGCTACGCCATGCCACAATGTCCACACTGCTATTTTTAGCATGCTAGCTTGAGCAGACCTAGTGTATGTCTGTCTGGCCAGGCTGGGAAGCATGCTCCCAGCTGCAGTGTCTAAACAACTGGCTTTCCAAATTAGAATTCCTGCTTTCAAACTATGGGTAGGGTTTTACACTCTTTGCACAGGTGTAAGTGATTATTAAACAAGGTGCAAGATGCAAAAATCAAGGCTATGAGGTGTACTGCTTCAGAGCCAATGCTAAAGGACTGCCTATTCCTGTGCCTAGAACAACACAGCCGTATTTAGGTCCAAATCCATTCTTCCATCTCATAATGTAAATTAAGCTGCTTTTGAAGCCAACGCATCAGAATCAATATGAATTGATACTGATGAATAGCTGTAAATAGGTGGGAAGGCTTTAAATTCCCAAATATTGGGCCAGAATTTCTTTCCAGGGAAATGAAAACACTATCCCTGTCAGGTTTCAGAGTAGCAGCTGAGTTAGTCTGTATTTGCAAAAAGAAAAAGGAGGACTTGTGGCACCTTAGAGACTAACCAATTTATTTGAGCATAAGCTTTCGTGAGCTACAGCTCACTTCATCGGATGCATTCAATTCCACTGAATGCATCCGATGAAGTGAGCTGTAGCTCACGAAAGCTTATGCTCAAATAAATTGGTTAGTCTCTAAGGTGCCACAAGTCCTCCTTTTTCTTTTTGCTATCCCTGTCAGTAAGCCAGTCCCACTAGTTTGCTTATCACCTGTTTCTATACACACACAATACAGGAACAAGTCGACTATTTTAGGGCCTGACATTCTCTGTCGGCATGGTAACTTTCAATTCCCTGTCTCTGATGGATGCCACTTAAAACAGAAGATTAAGCAAATCCATACCTCTTGCCAAATGTTCAGCAAACCTGACTACAGCATCCCAGACAAAAAGCCCAGTTTTCTCACTTCCATGAGTGCATCTCCTGTAGGTGTTTGGGTAAGAAAGGGCAGATTTGGGACCCATATGCTTAGCCTATCACCACCCATAAACCACAGCAGCTTGTTACCCTACTCTTTCTTGGGCAGTCCTTACTTGGGGTCCTGTCTTGCAAAACATAAATCCATAAACCCCGTATATTCCTTGGGAGAAAAACCAAACCTTTATGATCTTTTCAAACTAAATGTACTCTCCCCTGGTCAATATAATTAATATTCTTCTCTCAGTATAATTCAGTCTAATTATTCTCAGGCTGTGTCTACACTTACAACATGTAGGGTATGTACATGGTACG